TTTTTTATCAATTTTCAGGCATGCATATTTATTGGAGTATTTATTATGATAGCTTCCACAGTTGGTGGATTGAGAAATATTGTTGCTGATTCATCCTCATATGAGTTCTATTCATGAAGACTACATTTTGAATTTAATTTAACATAAATCTATTATTGGATGGAATCTAATCCAGAAAAAAAATAGTTAAAATTCCAATATGTAGTAGGGCCTTTGCCCGGAACCTATTTAAATACGAGATGCTTTACGTACCGAGCTAGCTGCTTTTTTTAGCAGTAGTTTGTTAAGATTTCTGATTTTAGCAAATTTCCTTTTTATCCATTTTAGTTAAATATATCATGTTGTCTTATGCATCACTTTCTTTTACTCTTTTATTGTTTTTATATTTGGTTAATCAAAGCATCCAATATTCTAAATTTACTAGTATTCGTGTTGATTAGAATGATTAAGTGGATATAGCGCTTTTTACTAAGAAAATATCTATTTTCAGGACTTGAACTGATTGATTAGGATCTCGACTAGTGTCGGAGCGAGAATTTTTTCCGAAGATTTAAGATATGAAGAAATAAACACACCAAAAGGTCAATGAGATACAACATCTACTATATAAAAGTTAAAAATAATGTCCACCTTATATGTTAGTTATATAAGAAAACAAATCTTAGACCATAATGATGATTTTAAAGTTGTGCACATTGAATATACAATTAAATAATAAAAGCACGTTCTCTTTAACAGCTTAACATTTTAGACTAGACGATTACATATTTCAACAATGCAAACTTAGATTCAAAACGAATAATATTGCTAGTGAATCACAGTTGGGCTAAACACCACGTTTAATTGAGTTTAGGCAAATACCACATCTTTGAGATTATAGTGAGTCGAAACTATATATATGTCATTGTCTAGGAGTGCAAAAAAAAAAAAAAAAAAAATCATGGGGGACAAAAAGTAACATTTTTTTTCTTACATTCAATATTGATCTCAAAATGAATAAAAATATAAACCTAAGATTTATTTCATTTGGCCTACCATTATATATTTGCTTCATTTTCTTTATTGAACTGTAAGGAGCATCTTGGTAAAGTTGGGAAACTGAAGGCATAACCATATATATATATATATATTGCTTTTGAATGAGCTGAACAGATAATTAGTCGAGGAAATGAGATCTATTGCGCTATTCAATTTAAATAAAAGAAAATAATCTTTTTAATTTTTTTTATTTATATAAATAAAGATATATTATGTGTAGAAATAGAAATCTCTTACAAAATATCATAAATAAAGAACTAGCAAATTATTAACAGATAATCCATTTTCGGAGACACACCTTAATTAAAAAAAGGCTCTATTACACCCCCCCCCCCCCCTCCCTGGGATTCTTTTTTTGTATTTTTATACACATTTTGACTTACATGGCACACTCCGTGACTCCACGTAGTTGAGGTGCGTGGATGTTTGGATGTCAAGTAAGTTAAAAAGGTGCACAAAATTATAAAAAAAAAAAAAAAAAAAAAGGTTCGGGTGAAGGGGTTATAAGGTGTGTCTCAGTCATAGTCTAGGAATACTTGTGTCTTATCCCTTAAAATAACCTTGTACAACTTTGAACAATAAGGGCAAAAATTTACACACTCGATATTTACAGAAGATAAATAAGTACTTCATTCGATGTTTTAGTTTACATGAACCTCTTTTTTTTAATTTGTCTACAAAAAGAATGATCTCTTTCTAAGTTCGAAAACAGTTTAATTTGAACTTCTCATTTTTACTCTTAATATATGACACCTCTAGGACCAACATTTTATTATTTAACGCAGAAGAGAAAGAACATATATTTGGACATTATATATTAAAAAGATTCTGATATTTTTTTTCACATATATTATAGAAGAATAAAATCATTGACAAATCTTTCCTTTTTCATCTCTGATTTAAACTAAAGTTTTTGTCTTGCTTTGTGGACTACAAAAGAATCCCTTTACAAATGCCAAAAGGTGATAATTAAAAGTTAAATGAAAAATCAAGGATTAGAATTAGTAGGATATAATTAATAATTTATATCCAAAATTATTTAAAATCCATATTCATTAATCATTAAGAATATGAAATGGTTCTTTGTCCACTAAAAATTCATCATTGAAAAATAGAAAAATAACACTAGAAATTAAACATGCGTGTAACTTTGTAGTGCAAAGTGCAAACTCCATTAAATGAAATGCCACTAATGCTAATATTATCAACTTTAATTACTAGAGGGACATTATCAAATTTTATTTTCTAAGTGTGTTCTTTGACAAAATCCTGGATATTGTCATGGAGCTAATTCATTTTTTTTAATTTTTGTCATGGAGCTAATTCATTTTTTTTAATTTTAAAATTCATAACGGTATTCTAATTTTTTCATGTATTTAAGTTTGAGATTCATGACATTGTGGACAGTGTTTCCACGTAAAAAGTGATTAATTCTCAATGAATTCGGTTATGTTTTCAAAAATTGATATGAAAAGTGACTATATAACTTTAGCGTATAAATTTTCATTCACTCCATTAATTGATGCGACACGTTTCACCTTCCTGTCTCTTCTTCTCTTGCACCAAACTAAACACTTTACGTGGTCCATTATTAATAAAATATAGAGGAAAATCCCAATTTTCCAAAGAACTACTTTTGTATTGTTTTCAACTTTATACCCCCAAAGTATATTTGTTTAATTAAAAGGGAAAGAAAGTTACAGAAAATTAAAGAAGGTAACTTCAATCACATGTTGTGCCACAAAAAAGGGCCTAGTTTATGTGTTACTATAACGCAAAAGGCACTTTAAAAAGATGTGTTTTCTTGATGTGACACAATATAAAATTTGCTTTATTCATGGCTGCTACACAAAATAGGGAACAGGAAATTAAAGGTTTAGAATTGATTGGACAAGTTGAAAAGTGACTAGATAAATAATATATTTTATTTTTTTTACTTCTCAATCTAATGTTCGGTACTATCTCGCATTGAAACCTAACTATTTCAAATTTAATTTATCCCGCATAAAAGGAAGTAGTCTCGACCAAAAATTCTTTCATACCTAAAATTTAAACTCGAGATCGTTAATTAAGGAATAAACAGTCCATCTAATACACCATATGATCCCTCAATGGTAGATAAATAATATTTATGGAGTATATATTATCTATTGATGAAAGAAAATAGTGAGAAGAAATGAAGTTTGATGACTCGCAATATTATATGAACATAATTAAGGATAACGATTTTATCCTAATTTCAAAAATTTAGTTAAGTCATAGACAAACACTAACAGTATTGGAATTTAATCCGTCTATAATAATGTCTAGCAGTGACCTATTGCTCAAGTGATTAGTAAACTCAATTATTCGTCCTTCGGGATGGCTCCGTTAGTTTGAAGGATGGTCATCCACGTAAGTGATCCGGGATCAATCCCCTTCACTGCCTATTAAAACGGCTACAGATTATTTGTCAATGGTATTACATACATCATTTTAATGACTCAACGTCTTAGAATCGATTAATCATAATTCTGATTAAAAAGAATTTTTAGTAATTGATTTTTTTAACCTAATAATCCATGTCCTTATCAGTTTCTGAACTAGTGATATTATTCGTTTTATGCCTTGATCCATACGCCTTTAAATATGTTATTAGGATCTAAATTTTATTTAGTTATATACTCAGCATCTCTCTCGTGCTTTGCTGACGTGGAATTTGTCTAGAATATGATAATACTAACAAAACCTAGTGGGAAGGAAAAATTGCCAAAATGATTAAAACAGATACTAAACTCAACATGGATAGCTAGTACCTAGACATTATTTGTTGCAAAATATTCAAGGTGGTCTTTTTAAAAAAATTTAGACATGTCATCGTCATATAGAAAGATTAACAGTAGAACATTGTCATCCAAATATTCAACAAAATGAATGATTGCTAATTACCAATGACTAGCTAGCTTGTAGTGTTCAATAACGATAATAAATTTGATGTAATTTTTCAAACGAATTTTGAAGAGTGAAAAGAATAAAGTATACACAGATCATAGTCTATTTTTATTTTTATGGGATGGGACAGATGTTTCTGATTAATCCTCGACAGTTCTTCTCTTTTTTATCTGAGTTTGAAACTGATAATGTGAACGAGCTCGCAACACTATCTCAAATATTATTATTAGTTTGGTGTTAAAATAGGAGATGCATAAATAGATTTAGGTACATTGTATCTTGTACATATAATCACTATTTAAGCCTTTTAGTTTCTTTTCTGGAACTATTTTATCTTTTATTTAACAGTGTCGTCCACTTTTATGCAAATTAACAATTAGTACTCACTGTCTCATTTTAACCGTTGTTTTAATCTGTTTCAGGCTTATTTTTAAAAAATGTGAAATATAAGAAATAGTTTACTAAGTTGCTTTTATTTAGTGAATATAAACTGATTTTTTTCAATATTATGAATATAGTTTGAACATAATTGTCAATTTTAATCTTAAATTTTGAAAGTGCTAATTATTTAGGGACTATCTTTAAGCTAATTAAAGAGTTAAAATGGGAGGAGGGAGTACTTGATATCGCTATATTTGCTTGGACCCTCCAGAATGTTGTTGCACTCGTATCGAATCCTTAAAGAACGCATAGATAGCCTCAAGATCAACTATCTAAAATTTGAGTATTTGTTTCTTTTTGGTTTCTCAACTTATGTCTACTTGTCTAGTATAGACACATTATGGCTTGACTAAATCCTTGAGTCAGAAAGTTTCACATTCGAAGGTGAAACACTCAATAACAAAGAAAACTCCATATCCAAGAGCTCGAACTTCAAACATCTGATTAAGGATGAAAGAGTACTCTCTACTCCCGCACAACACTTAATGGTTCCCTCCAGGTAGTAGTCAAAAAATGGAAAGCAGAAAAAAGAAATGCACAGATACTGAAGAACGAAAAACCGTAGTCCATAAAAATGGTGAAATGCGCTTAACGAGAACAAGCTTATCATAAGCAAATAGAGTCTACATATTTGCCTTTCAGCGAAAAGGTTAAAAATAGTGGCTGCCTGCCTTGGACCAGACGCGGAGCCTTAATCTAAATTAACGGAACAAATATCTAATTGGATAGTGTTTCCCCGATTTGCTTGCTTTTATGTAGTTGTTGTACCTTTCATACTGAGGACTTCAGCAAACGAAATGTGCATCTAGACTATCATTCACTTCCTGCATGAAAGTAGTGACCCAATGTCAATCCACTCATCATCAAACACAGGCAATTTTTTTCGAAACATGTTAGCTACTAATTGTTCTATGTGAGCATGCAGTAATTCTTCTGCCCTTTCTTTTTAACGATGGCAGAGATAAGTCTTGTATCTTATCCAGCAACTGTGTAACATAGCATTTACTTTGGTATTCTAACGTCAAATATAAAACTGTTTCATGCATAGAAGAAGGGAGAACCAGTCAGGACTAACCGGAGAACAGGGTAAATATTCGTAAGATAAACGACATGGTTACTCGACTGTTGAAAGGTAGGACTGAATTCCGAAAACAATGAATAGAGATCCACCAGCAAGTCCCACCTACATCAAGAAATAACTCTGCTCTGATGAAAATGGACAAAAGAAACATAGGGGTAAGCAAGAGCAGACGTAAAGTAAATCACTCACTATTCTTTCAGATATTGAAGATGCAAGACTTTTCCCTCCTAGGACGGCAGCTGTAGTACATAAGGCTTGTCCCCTGAGAAAGATTAACGACATCATAAAACTGTGCATCTAACTGATTCTCAACCGCAATTGTGACTATTTATTTAAGAGTGCTTGTATTAATGTCTGACTCTCTTTTTTTTTTGGTCAACCATAAATCCTAATCAGCAAAAAGATTATTTGACTTCAGAGTTCAGACGAGGCACAGGAGCCACAGGAGCCACAAAGCAATATTAGAATGGCATTCATAGTTGAGAACATAAGAAGTCAACAACATAAGGCTTTACGTCGAGAAACCTACAGTATTCCTCCAAGAACAACTCCTAGTGGATTCTCATCGGCAGCCAAACCAATGGTAGCAAGCTGAAAAGTTGTTACAACTGCTAAAATTAGGAGCTATTTCAGAAGTTTATGCAGATTTTACATTACAACACTTGTGTGCAGTTGCATACCTGGCTCTTGTCACCCCATTCACCAAAGAAGGTAATTGAAAATGCCTGCAAAATTAAGGCATTATATATAGTTGTTTCTTAACAGTGACCTTCACATTCCTGGTAGCTATTTAACAGATATTAACCTTCAGAAGGATGGGTGAGAAGAATTGAGCGAGAAGAGGCTGCCTCTGCTTCTTTAAATCATCAGAATCCTAGAAAAAGATAAACTTTGGTAAGGCTAATGACAAAGGTATGTGTTTTTCTTAATAAAATTGCAGCAACTTTACACCTGTTATTATGAGAACTAGCAAATCGGAAAGATAAGAATCTGATAGCAGACCATCAGGAGAGAGCAAACACATCTTAAAGAGTCTTCATGTTGGGACATATTTAATGGTTTAATTCATGAACAGGGGACTTGTATATATCAAATAGGAACCTGTATATATCAAATAGGCTGTAATTTAAAAAACACGATCCTTCACCCAAGCTGAAATCCATTATTTTTTTTGATAACCAACTGAAATCCATTATAATGACTAGGAAGGAGATAAGTAGTACGTATAATACAAAGGTCTAGAAATCAGCATTCGGGACAGACAAATTAGAGTTAGTCAGAAAGAGAATGTAAGATTGCTCCCTTTTGAGTTCAGTTAACATAAATGCCCAATGGTGTTGAATGTGTGAGAATCCTCAGTAGAAAACTCAGATAGCAATGGTGTTTGTATACATTCATCAGAAGAAGAAGGTTAACTAACAAAGGTGTTTTTGTTGCTTATATTGCTTTTTCTTCTTCTTCTTTTTGTCTACTTAAGGCATTTTAGTCAAGTTTTCAAGGACAACACCTACTTCTCACAGTCAGCCGATAAAATTTATCAGTATGCATACTACCCTCTCAAACAGAGAGGTGCTAGAGGATTAGCATTCATAACTGGAAAAAATCTTAATCAATGTAGCCCACGCTAGCATTTGAGTCGAGCAATAAGATAGTAAATTGCTGATATGGAGATTGGCGAGGGGTTAATAGTTTCCTTCTCATAACAGAACCGTCATTTTCATTTATCGTAACAACAACAAAGTCTTAAGACTGACTTTTAAAAAAGAAAAAGGAAAGAAAGGATATGCAAATGTATACGAGTAGGAATGCTACCTGATTCTTCTCCTTGGTTTCTCCACCATTAGCTTTTAGATCAGCGTCCTACTTACACCATGTAAGGTAAAAATAAGAAAAGCTAAATTCATGTATGGTAATATGTAATTGGAAAAATACAGACCAGCTGGGCTTCAACTTCATCCAAATCCTCAGCTTCCCTGTGGATGAAATTAAAATTAAATTAATAAAAAAGTTATTGAGGCATACAGATTTTAGAGATCGGCAGCAGAAGTAAGCAGGAACCAAATGATTACCCATCATGAAATGCATCCCACAAAGACCATACTCCAAATCCCAAGAACAGCAGTGTTGTAATATGATGGGTCCATTTGCGAGACACCTGTGGAGAGTATGTATGAACTTTTAAAGTTTGTGCAAATAAAACTGATATAATTAAAAGCAGAGTAGGAAGTGCTTTGTACAGAAACCAAGGTAGCGAAATTCAACGGAGCTGTAATGATAGACTGCTAGATCATAACGATAGTGAACTCGAATAAACCAGAATACATGTTCTTCATCTGATTAACTCTAAATGCACTCGATACATATCTAACGCATGACAAGATCCTCTATTTGTTTGTACGAATTATGACATACCAACATAAATAATGGATGCATAAGTTCACTTGGATACATTGCAAGTTTTTACCATTATTTTCAGATTTCACTTAACAATATACACCACGTGCTATTTTTTGAGAGGTACTACAACTTATATCATTTGATAGACAGTAAGAAAGCAAGATGACTAATCAAGTTGCCCGCGACTGATCACTAGCACGAGGCACAGACCTTGAGATAAATTATAGCAGCAGTGTTTTTGTTATCATACATAATGCCTCTGTTATCTGAACTAGTAGGATGTACAAACCATTTCTATAAGAACATGATAAATATATATATTTCAAGTTCTGCTTATGACTTTATATCAAATATGATAGCGCAAGTGAGATACAAGATTACCAGTTCATCACCAATGTACTCAAAGGGATTGCAATTAGATGAAACTTACCAAATTGGGAGCAGCCCAACCAACAACGGCAGACAGAATGGTCATTACCTACAGCCACCAACATTTCAAGGGAGACTGTTATCACCCACAATATAAAGAAGGAAACGTCAAATAATGGAAAAAATGGTGAAGGAAAGGTGTATGAAGTCTTACAGTTAAAGCCCCAAGGCAGCCTGACAAGACGAGTCTCCTAGGATGACGCATCGCCAAGATCTTAAAATGAAAGAAAATTTGTCAAAATCTTTTCAGAGAATATTCTCAAAACATAAGAAACATAGGTGCTTAAGATGAGGACATCAGAATAAATTAGAATTCTAACATATAACCAAAACCTCTTAGTGAACAAAGCAGCAGCTAAATGATTAGATGTCAAAATAGTTTAAGCAAAGAGGTACTAATCTGAAAGTTCAGCGATATGGAACTCAACATATTGCAAGAGAAGTGATGAACCGCAAGTTAAGTCTCACAGTTAACAACACTAGTTTGTGTTATATGATTCTGTCTTTCTATTAAAGGATAAAGAAGCATTACAATGAGCTGCACATTCCGGAAATGCAATATTATGGCCTTCATCATCATTGGTAGACTTTTTCATTTCTAATTAATAGTTGCTGGTTTAGTTTATGCGCAACTTAAGTAAGTAATGCTACAGCCATAGCTCTAAGTTGAATACTAGTCTAAGCTCAAACAGAGCCGAACTAATAAGGTCCAGCAGCAAGCTAAAGAATACAACTTTTTGGTATACAAAAATCACATAGAATTGGGTGAAGATGAAAATTGTAACAGGACTGAAAGAGTATCTTCTGCTGATGTACAAAAGCGATGAACTGAGCAGACTTTTTGGGAGTGTGTGATGGTCAGTAAGGATACAAATAAGAAGTATATCTTCTTCTGCTTTTGGCATTTGTTCTTCTGAAGTGGAATTACTTTTTGCAATTAATAATTGTTATCTACAAACTAAAAAAATAATTGGGAGAAGAATAACACAGCATATTACAATTTGTCCTCATTCCATTGTACTGTTTAGAATTCCATTGCCAGTCAGCTAAAAGAATCTCAGGTTCCAAAATATAAATAAAGATAATAGGCTACCTGGTACACCCACTTTAAATACTGCTAATATAGACACAATATCAAAAGGAATGGAATTAAGGGTATATAACCTAACCATGCAGCAATTAAGAACAGTTCTCAACAATCTCTCTCTCTCTCTTCCCCCCCCCCCCCCCCCCAAAAAAAAAAAAAACACTAAAAGATTTAAACAACAATAAATTTAAAAAGACCACAGGAGACGAAGCAATGACTGGGAGTTACTGAAACCAAAGAACCTAAAAAATTTCTACCTTTGCAAAGTATTAACAGAAACACTCTGCCATTCACTTGGAAATTAGGTGAATTGAGACGTTTAACACAACTTATTAAGTAATATCTAAAACTCAGAATCAAAAACAGCAGCAATTCAATCAAGCTTCTGAACTAGTTTGCGCTTAAATATTAACCCTGACCAAAAAGCCTTCCTTTCTGGCATATACAAACTCTGTGATTTACTCGTCAAATAAAACAAAATAATAACTCCATGATTCATCTTGCATAGATCAAATCTTAAACTGCATTCAATTTTAACTCACTCTTGAGCTCCCAGCTACCATCCATAATCACACACATATTCAATTAATCAATCTGTTATGCCTCAATCTCAAATGAATTGAGTTTGGCAATACAAATCCTCCATTCCACCACATTTTATTCAAAGTACCGATAATTAATCATTCTTTTAATACAAATAAGAATTCTCTTAATCAACTCTCCAAAAAACTACAACTAACAGTCTAAACAAACACAAAAATCCAGCTCATTTCCAATAACCATGGTGTCCAAGTCAGCTACCACACACCTCAACCTAATTCTACTGGTACCTACTACCTCCCAGCAGCACAACACACCACAGGTATCGAATAATTCTATCCACCAAACATAATTCCAATTTAATCACAATAAATCTAATACAAACTCACCGCAGCGGCGAAGAAAGTCTTGTCTCCGATCTCAGACAGCACTGTCATCGCCAGAGACTTCGTAAACCCCTAATAAATCCCCGAAAAAAATATCAAATTGATTTCACTCGCAGCATATATACATATCAATGCATACAATAACAGCGAAAGAGGAGAAGAAAGGATTACCTGCGCCACTGAAAGACTCATCTTCAATTGCTCTTCGAAGTCAAGCTTGAGAGAGCAATTTGTATATATAGTGGAGAATATTGAAGGGGATCGAGTTCTTCGAGCTCTCTCTCAGTTGAAAAATGGCGAGGCGCGTGGTATTAATGGTATATAAGAAAGGGTTTTTCAGGGATGTGAAAGTGACATGGCAGGATACGTATCAAATTCTCTATGGAATCTTTAATATTATTTGGTATTCAATATCGTCTTTAATATTTATAAAAAATTATTTATATATTGAATATTGTATCGTTATTTATATAATTTCTATATATTATACTAATATTGATAAATATATAAGCTTAGGATTAGTATAAAATTAATTATTTATTGATTGAAATTTTGACAATTCTATTATAATTAAATGTCTTTTTTTTTTATGTAATTGATTATAACAACAATCGTATATTCAATAGAATTTTACAAATGGGGTTTGGAGAGTGTAGAATGTATGCAGATCTTATCACTATTGAGTGAGGATAGAGAGGTTTTTTTTCAAAAGATAATAGTCTCAAATGCAACAAATTCAAGTAAAAAGAAGAACAAACCGTGAAGGGATCAAACATCTAATAAGGAAAACATTGTCAAACCTACAAGAAAGAAATAATAGTAACAGTAAAACAATATGATAATTAAAATACAATAAATAATATATGGTGTTAGATATTACAAGCAAAAACTACAAGAATACGACTAGTACTACGATACATCTTTTAAACAGTAAGACAACATTCCACAACCTTATAACCTTCTATATTGATACGCGACCTCCATATCTTCCTATCTAAAGTCATGTCTTAGGTAATATGAAGTTGAATCATGTCTTGTTTAATCATCTCTCCCCAATACTTTTTCGACCTGCCTCTACCTCTCCTCCTATCCCTTATGTCCAACCTCTCGCGCCTCTTCATTGAGGCGTTAGCGTATCTCCCTTTTACATGGACAAATCATCTCAATCGCACTTCCCTCATCTTGTCCGCCACGAAGGTCATTCTCACTTTGTCTCAAATATCTCATTCTTAATCCTATTGTTTCTAGTATCCCATCTTTTATATAATTGATTAATAAAGAAAATTATTTATACTTTCTTTTGAATATTTCTACATGTCTGGTGTATTAGTATGATATAATTAAGATATTTCTTAAAAAAATAAATTCTTAATTCTCTTTTATATGAGTATATGTAAATCAAAATAGAACAAACCATCATACTGCAAAGTATCAAAATCAAACTTAATAATATTAATTCATATCGAACTAATTTGACATGTATATTTCAAAAATTAAAATTTTCAATGCCGTATCATACCATGCTGACCCCGAGAAGGTGAACAAGTGTGATTGTATGAAGCTAAAAATATGAATATTTCCACGCGCGGATTAAATCACGTGAAGTTTTTAAGTATATAAATATATTATTATTTTTTGTAGGAATTTAGGGAAATTTCCTTCGATTTTGTACTGTCAATTCATGTACTTGATTACTCACAAATTTGTGAACAAAATGCCAAATCTCAAGAAGCTTCGTGGTAGTTATAATTATTGTTTGATTGCAATTTGGTTTATATAAGTTCCATAGTCTATTTGTCATATTTTATTTTATTTTCTACGCAGATTAAGATAGAACTTTTTCTTATTCAAATAGTAACAGATTAAGTGGAGCAAGATCAGAAATAAAGAAACCTTTTAATAATAAATGAATCTACTTTTATAAAACTTGGACTTTTGCAAAGAACAAAGTTATCATTTTTAATATATTTTGGAAAATACATCATACATAATAAATTGGTGGTCCAATAATTTCATTATTTCACGTTTTACGTTGTTTTATTTTATTTTTGGTTTGGTTTATCATTTTTGTTACGAAAAGTCAAAGGATAGTGCAAGCATCATGTTTACTAAACAATTTAGAAAATAATTAATACTCCTGATTTGTTATAAATTGTTTGGTTTGATTTGAAATAAGATCAGATTGATTAATATTTAGTGATTTCGAATATATAATTTTTATTATATTTAAAAAATAATATATACATATGTAAACCTAAATAAAAATATAATAGCTAATAATTTAAAATATTTTTATAATTAAAAAATATTATATTGTCAAAAATAGTAACTAAACAAAATAAACTAAAGTGGAGGAAGAATATTGTATGATAACTTTTAACGTGTTGAACATACGTACTATTAATTAACTTCAATTAAGCTCCAACACAAAATATGAGATAGAAAACTACAAACAAAACAGACAAATTAACCTTTAACAAAACTTTATTATGCCAAAAAGAAAATATTCCCCTTTGGGTTTGCTAATATGTTAATATACTAAACATTTTAATGGTCATCCCAATACAATTATAATCGAGGTCCATTTGTGAGGGCGGTTTTTTTGATAATATTTTTTCAGTTTCTAGAGACTCGAATTCGAAAATTGCAATTAAGAATATAGAGATCTCAATCATCTCTCTACAACTCATGTTGATAGCTCTATCAAGAATCAGGGCTAAGACTTGATCTATTGTAATGATATATGTATAATTATCCATCAACACTAATTAACAGCTTAAATTATAGTTGTATTAATCAATAATAGTAATCCCTATCGGTGATTTACAGATACGATCCAAGTGTTATGAAAAGAATTTTTTTTAAACTCCTTAGGAATTCTTACCTTTTTAATTTTGCTATATTGATGACTCAAACTCACAATCTTAGAGTTGCAGATGGAAGGTGCTTACGACTTTACCATCTAAGCAATCTCCTTTTGTCTTATAGAAGGGTTTTTGTTGATTTCAAATGTATTTTATGTTAACATATATATTTGTCACCATCTATAAACTTTCAAAATATGGCTAAGGGAATTGTTAATAATTAACAATAATATTAATTATATGGTGTTTACTTGTTCAAGTTTCTAACCCCATTTGAAATGTTGTTGTTCCATACGACTGAAAATCATTAGTTAAACAACATCAATTATGTATGGATATAATGTCTCAATCGTAGTCTAGTAAAAAACACATTGTAATTATCTTTGAAATTTAGTAAAAAGTTTCAATGATTATTTTTGAAACACTTGGAATTTCTTAGTTAAATTAATTGTGTTGTCTCGATCAATAATTATAATTTTCAGTAAAAATATAAAATTTATCGAGCAAGTAATTATGTTACATCAATTGTATTTTGAAATAATTTAAGTTGTTGTTGCAAATCTGAATCTTGAATTTAGAATTTAGTTAATAGTGCTTGAAAACGTCATTTTAAAATTTGAAACTCAGAAACATAAAATTACTCCCTCTGTTCAATAATATTTGTCCGAACCATTAAAAAGGTAACTCAAATGAAGGAGTGACTACTTACGGGGACCTCTTAACCCTAGCTTAGATGTTTCAACCTAACATTGCGGTCACCTATTTTTCTACCTTAGACTTGTTAGAATTCAAATTCATTAAACTATTCAACTTTCAAATTTCCACCTAGTGTTTTTTTATTAAATTATATTTTCAATCAATAATTTACTTATCTTCTTCAGTATCATTACTAGAATATCTTAATCAAATTAAAATTTTGAACTTTATACTAGATCAAATACCGTAAAATGATTCGACGATAAATAATTTATGGGGAAATTATCTAAATATACAATTTATTTTACTATATTCTCAAAAATTTCCTACCATTTGAAAAAATTATAAAATCCCTACTCTCTCCTATTCTTGGATACATCACTTTATGCAATGTATCGACCGGATACATCACTTTACATGATCTATCGATCGGGTACATCATTTTGTGTGATGTAACGGAGTGTACGCGATGTATCAGGACATTGAGTGATGTATCCAAAACTGAGACGCGATGTATCAGGACGTTGATGGACGTATCCGAAGGAACACGATGTCTCAGGACATTTTGGGATGTATCCGGATTCCACCAAATTTAAGCAATTTTTTTGTAATTTAAAAAAAAATAAAAAAAAAATATAATTAACTCTTAACACGATGAGATTTGTATAAAATTCTCATAATTTATTGCCATGAGGAACTTCTCATTTTCTATGTCCATGATGGGACTTAAACTAAGAGTCTATATCCTTTATGGGCTGCTGGCCCTTTCTAATGTCAAATAGATTTGGCCCAATATTAAAATTTTCAAGATCGGCCCAATTGTTATAACCATTTGGTCCTTGATTTAGAGCACATTTGGATTGGCCTAAAAAATAGAGTAGCTTTTAAGTCAAAAAATAAAAAGTCAAACTTAAATGACTTTTAATGTCACGCCCCGAGCTACCCCGAGATGCGGACACGGGACCTAGGACCACAAGTGATCCCAAGCTAACCCTGCTGGCATGATCATGAGCATACTAAATATAAACTGAATAATTGAAACTGTGCGGAAGCTATAATCATAAACAAAATGAAAAGATGGGGAATACCCATATACTATAATTGAGATATATGTAAACTGATGAGTTTAATACAAGGAAGATACTAACTCAATACTAAGTTGAATCTATCTATGTATGAAAATAGCCTCTAACTGACTAGAAATGCTGGGATAGGCCCCAGCTAAGTCTAGCAAAACTGAAACTAAAAGACTAAAAATACTGAAAAGAAACTCATGACTATTGCCCTCGGAGAATGAGGACCCACTGATTTTGCTGAACTGGAGATCGGGAACCGATCTAAACGCGATCTGGATGCTGAGAACTTGAACCTACATCATGAGAAGATGTAGCCAGAGTATGCGTCAGTACTTGAAAGGTACTGAGCATGCAAGATAGAATACAACTGAAATAACATATAACTGAACAAAGCAAATAAGCAATGATATAATCTGAACATGATATAGATACTGAATGCTGAGATAACTGAATGCAGTGACCAATTTATAACATGTTGAAACTGAATACTGGATATACTGATAAATGGTCAATGTAATAGAATCTGACTGAACTGTGGGAGCTACTAATAACCGATAATAAAATCACATGAGCTAAATGTGGAGTCCGATGTATACGCCCCATTGAGAGGACCCAATATACCCTGCCACAGGTATAGAGGCATGCTGGCGTGATCACTGAAACGATGTCCACAGAGGGGACTTACAACCTACGTGGCTAGTAGTTCTGGGACTATTTGGGTATGCTGAACCCTAGTCCATATGCTACTCC